CCAGCCCCCCCCCCCGCCCGGCCGCGCCGGCCCGAGCCCGCGGGCGCACGGGAGGAGAGGAGCGGGCGCACGGGCACCCGGGCTCCAACACGCCAAGGCCGGCTGGGTCCCACCGTGGTTTTCCAAGCCCAGTGTCTTGACTTCCCTCCCAGGAGACCAAACCAGAAGGAGGGGTGTGTTTGACCTCTGGTAAAACAGAAACAAAGCGTTTCCCGAACAAATAACCACATTGAAGCCTGACAATGTCATTACAAAAGACCATTTTATTTCAGGTTCCTCCGGGCACACTATATTGCAAAGTAACACTAGGCAGGTCTACCTTCACATTAAGAGTCTTGCTACAGAATTAGGATTCTTGCTGTGGAATTGAGATGTTTGTCCGTTTGGTAAAATTTCAAAGCTTTTCCCTTGGCACTCATACAGGACTCGTCACTGCTTAAACACATGCATTAGCGGATGTGCCAGAAATGTGATATGAGACTTGGAGCAGGCACTTTCCAGTTAGGTCTTTTGAGAGCTGTTGGGCTGTCCAGATGCAAGAGGTCAACAAATATCTCCATCCTAATTTTGACAGTGGGGGAGATGAACATCTCCAGATTTTGATCACAAAGTAGACTTGCTTTTTGGGTTTAACGCACTATTAAGGTCACCTTCTTATTTTTGATGCTCTCCTTGTCATCTTTGCTCCCATTACCAAGGAAGACCTGCACTATTTTTGAGTAATAAGCTTTGCTTATATTCAGGAATTACACCAGCTGTTAGGCACCTGATTAATGTAATAATTACATAAACTCATAGAAACCATGCCTGAAGTGTTATCCACAAAGTCCATCCTTGTCCTCTAGTATGTGTTGCATGTGAATACACATATGAGCAGTAAATGAATCACTGGATAAATATGGCACTTTTACATATTTTCCTGGATACCACACAGAATTAGGAAACGCTGTTTTCTTAGCTGACACATTTCTAAAATATGGTCATACAGTTTTGAAAATACACCCCATGGAGCAGACAGTAAGAAATTCAGAAAAGTCAGCAGTGCAGCTACCTGAGTTTGTTCCCTAAGTTTAAACGGTTAAGGGTAATTTGGTGTTTTATCCCTCGCTGTGAGCCCGAGGGCTGCCTGCGCACAGGAGCCGCTTAGCCCGGCTGTGCTCACAGCGGCTTGGCCGTCCTGGAAGGGGCTCGGTGCCTCGGGGACGGGTCACCCCAACACCTCCACACCCTGAGCTGCAGCAGGGCCCAGCAGAAAAACAGGCCTTTCTTTTCTTTATGGCTTAGCTTTCTCCTGGCTTAAGAGATTGATTTGCCTTGTGGAGGGATGGGACAAGCGCCAGCCCAGTAAAGGCAGAAGTGGCCAGTGTGGGCGGCCAAGACGAGGCATTCAAGGAGGAGGAGGAAGGAAACTGCCCTTCTTCAGCGGCAGCTCATGGTGAGACCGACTGAACAGCCCAGACCCTGCGGGGAGATGCAATTGGTAGGAAAGTGCTCAGAGGGTAAAAGCTGTTCTCACCTGGAGGGTGACTCGAGACACAGGAGCACAAGGCACTTGGTACCGTGTAGTGGTGCCCCAGGAGGGGCTGCACGGGTGTCAGGTCACTGCCCCTAAGCGACGGGCTCCAGCTGCAGGCACGAGGCGCGCGTCCTTCCCATTGAGAAGACAGACCACAAACTACACGTGAGACATTAGACACAAAATAAATTATGGATTCAAAATGCTACATCGAAGGAATATAAAGATTTTTCTTTTAAAACTTTAAATGTAATCCCATATTTCAAATCTAAATAAGATAACTATACAGCTCCACCAATTACTTGGATATTTTAAACAGTTTACATTCATCAGGAACAACAGCACTTTGGTTTACATAATTAGGTTAATATGAGCAATGAAACATTTTTCTCCCTCACATTACATCAAAGTGAAGTACATTTAGAATATATATACTGCCAAGCTGCTCCAGTAAGTGCATTCCACATATGAATAAAGAGTAGCTCTTGCAATAGCCACCTCAGTTGAAGGTCTTTTAGAGAACTAAATAAAACCCCTTTTGAACAGCTTGCATTGATTCCTTCATGCCAGACCCATTTTCGACTAACCATATGGATCTTCTCCAGAACAGAACCAAGCCCAAAATATAACTTTGGTGCCCTGGCAAGCCCGTTTACCAAATGCAGAGCACTCCCCGGAGCAACGAGGAAGCACTGGCTTCGTTTGCCTCCCACCTTCCTAAGTCAGACTGTTGAAGCAACACGATGCTTTTGTACCAAGCTCAGGAACTCAGATGAACTGTAGTTCAAGACACGCAACAGCAATTAGAGAACATTTAAAAGCAACCAAACCGACAATCATCAAACAACTATTTTACATCACTTAAACAATCAGTGTTTCAACCTCTGCTATTTATAAAAAGCATTACCTCCTTCAGAAAGTACTTATTTCTAGGCATTTTAGCAAAGCACTGATCCAGCACCTGTGTTTGACTCAGATATGTGCTATATGTTGGACAGGACGAAGAGATCTTCTCCCAGCAAAATAATTTACTGTCATATAGTTATTTTTGATTAGCTTAAATCAGCTTGTGAGCAGCACACATATTACCATGGACTATACCTGCTAAACTTTCACAAAAGAGAGCAAGTGGCTGGATAAACAAAAAACTGAATGTGGCTTCAGAGAATAAAATTCTAACCTGATACTTAATCATTAAAGAGTATTACAGATGATTACATTATTTAAAAAGCAGGCTTCCCGATGTATGATTTCTGATTTAATTATTAGCTGGGAGATGAAAACATAGCCTTCATCACTGTCCTCTGGTAGGCTGAGATTTTCAGAAGCTAATGTATTCATTTAATCTCACTTCTGTAAATCCGCAAATGTTCCTGTGCTGAGCTTGATAATACAATTACACAGCTTGATTAGGGAGCATATTAGCTGCTAAAACTTGTGTCATTTCCGTGTCAGAAGCTTTACAAACTAACCATGATTGCACTTTTTCTGAGTGCCATTCTTGTGAGGAGCCAACATCCTTGGGGGCAGGGAGCCAAGGGGCCCGGGCAGCTGCAGGAAAGGGCACAGCCCGGACTCGGTTCCGCTGGCTGCCGAACACCTGGGGCCATCGCTGACCACCGGGGAGAGGGGGCATTCAGCATCTGCCGGAGCACCCTCCGAACACCACGTCCTAAGGGAGCCACACGAACCAGGAAGACCTAGCAGACCAGGTACAAACCAGGCAACCCAAAGCACACAGCTGAAACACGGTTCCCCTGAGGGGATTAGTCAAAGGAAAAAAAATCAGCAGATAAAAACACTTGCTTTTGTCAGTAAAAATTAAGTTACACCCTTGTGCTCAGAGCAAAATAAACTTAAAAATATCTTAAAACAGTGAAAAAATACAAGAAAATTTTATTTAAAAATATATGTACTCCTTACTCCAAACTTGTTTGTACAGACAGGATTTGTTTGAAAAGGAAAAAGAAATAAACATAGCACTAAATGCATATTCAGAGTATGCACTTCCTATAGCCTATATGGTAGAAGTGTATTTCTGTAAAACCGAGCAAGAGGAAGTTAGTTATTCAGCTTTCATGTGTTCCCTGACATCGGAAGGCAATGTTTCAAACAAGGCGTCCTCTACAATGAAACCAGTTCTCTTCAAAGCTCTACATTCACCAAGTTCAGCTGGGAGAATTTCAAAGTGGTTGCCTTTAATATCCAAGTAGGAGAGAAATACCAAATTACCGATTTTGGGTGAAAGGACTGACAAGCTGTTTTTCCCAATTTTCAGAGTCTTAAGCTTTTTGCAAAAGTAGAGTTCATCTGGCACACTCTCCACTTTGTTACAAGTGATGGAAAAATATTGTAAACTTTGCAGAACTCCTATTTCTGGTGGGATAAAGCGAATGTCATTGTAAGACAAATCCAAATATCTGATTTTGTTGCATAGGAAGAGGTGGGATGGAAGAACCTCTATTTTGTTATGGCTGAAGGAGAGGCGCTCTAGGCTGGTGAGTTTCTTTATATGCTCAGGGATGTATGTTATACTGTTGTACCACAGCTTAAGGATTGTCAGTTTTCTCAGATGTTGGAAACTTACTATTTCTTCAATTGATTTGAGGTTGTTCTCCTTTAAATCCAATTCCTGAAGACTGAGAAGGCTGAAGACCGCATGAGGAATGCGTTCTAAATCGCAGTGAACCAGTTCCAGCTCGGTCAGGTTGACCATCTTCTTCAGGTTGTTGAGCATGACCAGCTTAGTGCCATCATTATGGATGCACAGTTTTTGCAGGTGACTTGAGACATCAACAGCAGACTGTGGGATTTTGGACAAATTACTTTTAATGTAAAGAATTTTAAGGCTTTTAAGTTCCCGGAAAGACTCCAGTGTAATGTTTTTGGAGATATCATGACTTAGAGAGCCAATTAAATAGAGCTCTTCCAAATTCCTGAGGCCATACATCCAGTGTGGCAGTTCTCTGATGTCATCAAACTTGACACTTAAGATCTTAAGATTCTCCTTCAGAAAGGCCAATGCGGCGCTGTGGATCTTCACAGAGCACTGGTGCAAAGACAGCTCTTGGAGATTGTCCAGCTGGGCAATGGTTGCTGGTATCATCACGTTATTAATTATTTCAAGTTTTAAAGACTGCAGCTCTGTAATTTCAAAAACTGTGTCTGGGAGTCCAGAGAGCATGAAAAGCTGTAGCTCCAAATGACTGTGGGAGTTTGTCTGTAGCCGTTGTCTCAATTTATCTGCAGTCCACTCGTTGTTTAAGTTCAGTTGTTTCAGCTTATTTTCACTGACTTCAGACAGAAAGACAGCGAATCTCTTGGAATAGAGAGGATCATATTGATCTATCATATGAAGCATAAAAGCAAAGTCATTCTTGACATCTGGGATATCATCAATTCCTGTCTCTTGACGAACATATTCGAAAGAATATTCTTTCAGTGAGCGATAGAACAACCAGTATAAAGTGTAAAGGCATGTGAGGCCGTAGATGCTTACAAAGCACAGGTAGCAGTAGGAAAGTTTAGAGAACAGATGGGCCATTGTGTGATTACAGCAAAAATTCTTATATCCTGTCATGTCTTCAATATCAACATTACAGACTACTGTAAAATTAACTTCTGAGACAAGTGCTGTGTTGTAAGCAATAATGATAAGGAATTTAATTACCTTGAGTACAGTCTGGCGAACATACATAACATAGAGTATATCACCTTCCTCGACATGCAGTCTGAATTTCTTCACTTTTTCAAACAGTGCTTTGGCCTGTTCACCTTCTTTCTTATCTAGCGCTCCTGGTGTCCCCTTATCCACAACCAGCTTCTCAGGGATTGATTTTAAAGACTGCGTCTTGACCAAAGTGCCTTCGGTGCTTGGCTGGATAGTGTTAGACTTGCTTACATTATTCTTCCTGTTATCTTTCTCTTCAGAGTCCTCCCCTGACACTTCTGATAAGGCTCTTGTTGTCCAGGGAGAGTCAAAGCACTTCCCAAGTATCGAAATGAAATGCTCGATTTTGGAGCTCGATCCAGGGAACTTGAACCAGAAGTTACTGCACAGCATGAAGACCAGTGTGTGTATAAGGACAAGGTAAGGGAAGTACTTGGCATACCAGTGCAGGGCACGCTCGTAGCACACCTGATTTATAAAGCTGTACTGCTGAAGGTCCAAATCAGTCTTCAATCCTTTCATTTCAACAGTAGCTGGAGCAGTGGATGGCTTGGGAGGGAGCGGAGTTGTGTCTGGGATTGTGTGAAACACATTGGAGCTGTTAGATTGGTTCTGGCAAGGCTGTATTCGCTTTGGAAGGCATATTATCTTGTCCTGCATGACCTGAAACACACAAAAAGACACCCTGTCAGCTGACGTACAGGCAGTGGCGGCACTGCCAGGAAGCGGCCGTCCCGGGAGCTCCTCCCCTGCCGGGCATTCCTCCTCACAGCTCTGCGCCGGGCCCGCTTTGTGCTGTTATTGTTGTTAGGCCCAAAGAGACGCTTGTTCTACACGCCAGGAACCAGGTCACCCCCTTCCATCTACGGTTAGCTTTCCATAAGTTGAATAAGAAGGCATTGCAACAATCCAGAAAAAGGGAAAGTGCGGGTAACGCATCCCGGCAGGACAAGGGGGAAGCCTCTGCCTTGCTCTCCCCAGGGACAGCGTGTTCTGGCTGCGCGTGCTTACCCTGACCAAACGCAACCCCGCGCTCACAGACTGTGGACTGGAAAGCAGCGCTGCTGCATTCGTGTGGGTTTATGTGCAAACTGGGAGGTCTGGCAGACCCAGAACGGCTCGCGGAGAGTCAGGACGGGGCTATCAGCACCCCTGCTATTGTCAGGCTTTGGCCTTAGTCAGGATATATAGGGAAAATGGAGAGTTGAAGGCTTTTCTCTGTGTGTGTGCATGGACTTTATTTCTAATCATTTTCTCATATATATTAAATAGGAAGAGGCAGTCCTCATTCCAAACACCTGTGAAATATAATGTAGCTCTGCCCTCAGCCCATCTATAATGCAAAACAGAGCAACTTTCTTAACTTGGGCCAGCCTCCCACGCTGGCAACCACAGGTCACAACACCTTTGGGCACCAGTCATCTTCAGCTTAGCTTGGGGTAACAGGTTGAGCTCAGTGCCAGGCTCCCTGCAGGACGGAATTTAAAATATTAAAAAAATAATCCATGTGATAAACCAGGGAGCTCTGTTATTTGCCTGAATGACTAACTGGGATTAGCCCAAACTAAGAATGTGCCTTTAACTGTAGTGGGGATGTATCCTTTGGCATCAGAGTTGCTGAGTGCACTCAACAGAGGTGGGCAATAGGAGCCACCAAACACCGATTTCACCCAGTGCAGGGAGATGCTGCACTGGGACCTCACATATTTTTAACATTATCAGTGCCACAACTGTGGCCACTTCAAAAACTTCTTGCCTGTAAATGCTATTGTTGTCAAGGGCAAGTAACAGAGTATTCTGTTATATTTATACACTGGATCATGTCTTTGCTAGTAAATTGGAATTTAAAAATTCCCTGTGTTATTCGCATTGCTTCCAAACACTATTTTCCAGTGTGCTTCATCCAGTCAAGCAGATAAATTTAAAACTGACAGATACTCTACTTTATGTGCTTAAGCAAACACTTGGCTACCAAAGCAGAATAAATCCTTGTACAGAGAGATTTTTAAACACAGACATCATACTTTCCAAAAGATATTTGAAAAGACAATACAGGCAAAACTACAGTTGATTTCACATAAAAACTGGGACATGGTATGTGAAAACCTTGAGCCATGTA